GAATAAACTCATAGTTTTCATTATGATTTGGAATGTACAAAACAACATTATATATATTGTTTAAAGTAACAAACTGTTTAGTAACAAACTAAACAGAATTGTAACAAACTATAACAAACTAAAACTAACTGTTTAGTAATAAACTAAACAGTATTATTTTTCATCATGTAATAGCCCCCCACAAGCTGGACTATGGATGTCTAATAGACCAAGCTTGGAAACAAGAGAATCGAAAGAGGGAGCTGCCAAAGGCTTGGTGAGAACATCTTCCAGTTGAGCAGCAGAAGAAACTGGTAAGAGATGGATGAGACCAGTTTGGATTTTCTCACGAATGACGTGGCAGTCAATTTCGATATGTTTTGTCCGTTCATGAAAGGTGGGTTGTGAGCAAGGTAGATAGCACTTTTGTTGTCACAATAGACTGAGCTAGGTTGATCGAAGGAGATGTGGAGATCTTTGAACAAATACTGCAGCCATTGCAATTAACAAGTCAAGCTTGCCAAGGCCCTGTATTTTGCTTCTGAACTGGATTTGGATACTGTAGACTGCTTTTTGGATTTCCAGGATATGAGGGAATTGCCAAGGAACACACAATATCCAGTTACGGATCTGCGGGTAGCAGGGAAACTTGCCCAATCTGAGTCTGCGAAGCCAGAGAGTTTGAGTGGAGAGGAAGATGAATAGAACAAACCCTTGGCAGGAGCACCTTTGAGATACTTGAGTACTCGAATTGCTGCAGAATGATGAACTTGTATAGGATGTGAGATGAATTGGCTGAGCTGTTGAACGATGAATGCAAGGTCAGGTCTTGTGGTAGTCAGATATAGAAGTTTTCTAATAAGCCTTCGATAAGCTGTGACGTCTTTGAAAGGTGGTGAGTTATCATCATGAAGCTTCAAGGAGGAATCGAAGGGAGTAGAGCAAGGTTTAGTAGCCAATAAGCCACTGTCTTCGAGCAATTCCAAAGCGTACTTTCTCTGATTGAGAAAAATGTCGTGAGTGGATCTGGCAACTTCTAGACCAAGAAAATATTTTAGCCTACCAAGGTCCTTGATTTTGAAAGTGGAATCAAGGAAGCATTTGACATATTTGATTTCCTTCAAATCATTACCGGCTAAGACAATATCATCAACATAGACTAATAAAACAGTAAAAGAAGAGTCATGTGATTTTGTGAAAATAGAATGATCAGCAGAAGAATATGAGTAGCCAAGAGAGATAAGGGCAGTGGACAATTTCGAAAACCACTGTCTGCTAGCCTACTTCAGGCTATATAGTGACTTATGCAGTTTGCAAACTTTGTTGGTCGAAGAGGTGCAAACTTCGTTGGTCGAAGGAGTGCAAACTTCGTTGGTCGAAGGAGTGCAAGCTTTGTTGGTCGAAGGAGTGCAAACTTTGTTGGTCGAAGGAATGCAAACTTTGTTGGTCGAAGAAGTGCAGACTTCGTTGCTCGAAGTGCAAACTTTGTTGGTCGAAGAATTGCAGACTTCGTTGGTCGAAGAAGCAGGAAGCATGAATCCAGGAGGCAAATCCATATACACTTCCTCATGTAGATCACCATGAAGGAAGACATTGTTGATGTCAAGTTGTTCCAAGTGCCAATTCTTAATGGCAGCCACTGAGAGAAGGGTTCGAATAGAAGTAAGCTTCGCAATAGGTGAGAAAGTGTCGAAATAATCCACCCCCTCCAGCTGAGTATATCCTTTCGCTACTAAACGTGCCTTGTATCGTTCGATGGATCCATCAACATGATGCTTGATTTTGTAGACCCATTTGCAACCAATCGATTGTTTGCCTGCAGGCAAATCAACAACAGACCAAGTATTTGTAGATTCAAGAGCATCTAACTCAGATTTCATAGCATTGTTCCAACAATCAAATTTGCAGGCTTGTTTATAGGTTTTTGGTTCTGTGAAAGAACTTATGGATAGACAAAATAATTTGTGATCAGGACTACATTGGCTATAAGATAATACAAAAGAGAGAGGGTAGTTAGAGGAACCTGAGTCAGATGATGGCAGCATGGGGGATAGCAAATTGCAGTGATAATCAGATAGATAAGCTGGAGGTTTACTATTTCGATTGGATTTTCTGGTTGGCACAGGAGGGGAGGGGCAAGGGGAGTTGTTAGTGTCATTCGAGGAAGAAGAGAGGTTAGTGGGAGATTCTGGATGGGGGAGAGAGGTAGGAGAGGAAGGTTCATTTGATGGTGGAGGTAAGTTGGGTGGAATGTTGGTGAAAATATCAGGTGAATCAATCGAAGGAGGGCCAGGAGTTGGAATTATAGGATTAGGTGCAGGTGGGATGGATACAAAAGGGAACACACTTTCATAAAAGAATACATTCCTTGAAATGTAAAATTCATGTGTGATAGGATCATAGAGAAGGTAGCCTTTTGTGCCTTCCCTGTAGCCAAGAAAAATAGATTTCCTTGCTCTTGGTTCGAATTTAGTGCGATGGTTAAGCAAGGTCGAAGAATAGGCAAGACAACCAAAGACTCTCATATGGCTAAGGCTGGGAGGAATAGAATGGAGTTTTTGGTATGGAGAGTGGTTGTTTAAAAGAGGAGTGGGAAGACGGTTTATAATATGAATGGCATGTTGTATGGAAAGGTGCCAAAGGTTGTGAGGGAGGTGAGAGTGGAAAGAGAGGGCACGGGCAACATTCAAAATGTGTTGATGTTTTCTTTCCACGATACCATTCTGTTGAGGCGTTTCCACACAAGACCTTTGATGAATGATTCCTTTAGAAAGGTAGAAAGTGGTCATGAGAAACTCAGGACCATTATCACTTCGAATGCACTTGAGTTTCTTGTTAAATTGGGTTTCGATAAAGGATATGAAGTGAATTAAATGGTTTATGGTTTCACTTTTGTTGGCCATAAAAATTGTCCAAGTAAACCTGCTGTAATCGTCTACGAGGGTTAAAAAAATACTTGTGGCCACATATCGAAGATGTGGAAAGAGGGCCCCAAATATCAACATGAAGTAAATCGAAGATGGCAACAGACTTAGTATTACTGTGAGTAAAGGGCAAATGTTTTTGCTTAGTCAAATGGCAAGTGTTATAGGGCTTATGATTGTCATTGTAGGTGACAAAAGGAAATTGAGAGGAAATACATTTGTGTATGTAGGGACTTAAGTGTCCAAGCCTAAGGTGCCAAATAGTAGCAGGATCGAATTGGGGAGAATAGGAGGTGCTGACAGATCCAGATGTGGGAGAGATGGTCTTAGGTGGGGTGACATCAAGAACATACAATTTTCCAATCCTCCTAGCTGTAAATCCAGTCATCTTGGATTGGGGCAACTGCATAATTTGGCAGCAATTAGGAGAAAATTTCACATCATATAAAGTGGAGTCAAAAAGAGTGGTGACAGAAATAATATTGACATGAAATGAAGGAAAGTAATAAACATTGTGAAGGACAAGTGAACCACATAGTAAAACTGAACCAACAATAGTTGTAGTGACAGAGTCACCATTAAGCATTGTCATAGATTTAGGTGAAATGTGGTATGTGGAAACGAAACTGGCAAAGGTATGGGTGATGTGATCAGTGGCACCTGTGTCAATGATCCACCAGTTATGACAAGGAAGATTTGAGGAATTCTTACCAGAGGAAGTATGAGGAGAGGTATTGGACACAGAATTAGCAGTATAAACTGAATTAATCGAGGGAAGTGAAGGAGATTGCAAATTAGATTGTTGGAGGAGCTGCATAATCTGAGTGTATTGTTCTTGAATTGTAGATAAAGCACTTGGACTGGTGTTTGATGTGGATGTAGCATCTTGAATCGAATTCACTGTAGAATCAGCAGAATTCCCCACAGATGTAGTAGGCTTGCGTTGTTGAAATCCAGGGGGATAGCCATGTTTCAAGAAGCAAGTCTCAATGGTGTGATTGGTGCGGTTGCAATGGGTACATAGTCTGTTTCCACGGCCACCACGGCCACGACCACGACCAGTGTTGTGAGAAGAACGAGAAGGTGTTTGAGAAAGGTGATTCACAGATGATTGAGATTCAATCGAAGAAGCAGAAGGTGAAAGAAGGTCGAATTGACGTTCTTGTTGAAGAACCAGATTAAACACATTATCAAGAGTTGGTAGTGGTTTCATCAGCATAATCTGGGATCGAACATTAGCGTATTAGTCACCAAGGCCCTTCAAGAACTTGATAACTTTATCTTGTTCTTTGAATTTGCGTAAGTCTGAAGCAGCACCACAGGAGCACGGTATAGCGCAAGTACAATCACGAATTGGCCGGAAGTTCTCAATTTCTTCCCAAAGCGTCATCAATTTTGTGAAGAACGAAGAGACATCAAGAGTTCCTTGTTGAAGACGAGCAACACTTTCTTGAATGTCAGCAATGCGAAAAATATCTCCCTGAGAAAAACGATTTTCCAAACTTTTCCATACAAGAGAAGCACGATCATACCAGAGAAGAGATTTGACAATTTCCTCAGAAATCGAGCGTTGAAGCCATGAGAGGACGAGATTGTTGCATCGCATCCAAGGTTCGTATAGAGAGTCGGAGGTAGGGGGAGGAGAAAGAGTGTCATCAATGAATTTGATCTTGTTCTTGGAGATAAGAGCTACTTTCATTGATCTAGACCAGATCTGGTAGTTCTTGATATCAAGAACAGGTTGAACAAGAACAAGAGAGGGATTTTCATTAGGGTGCATGTAGTAAGGATTGGAAGGATTGGTAGCAAAATCAGAGTAAGGAAGCGCCATAACAAACGCTGAAACAGCAAGGGAAGAAGGGGGCGCGAAGGCGCGAAGAAGAAGAAGGTGCGAAGAAGAAAGGCGCGGAAAAGAGAATTCAAACTGATAACATGTTAATTTTGGAATAAACTCATAGTTTTCATTATGATTTGGAATGTACAAAACAACATTATATATACTGTTTAAAGTAACAAACTGTTTAGTAACAAACTAAATAGAATTGTAACAAACTATAACAAACTAAAACTAACTGTTTAGTAATAAACTAAACAGTATTATTTTTCATCATGTAATAAATTGATTAACATGATTGAGTTGTTTTCGAATGAGGAATCGTTTGCAATGGATTTTATGGATACAAAACGTTCACCTTTATCAGCAACAATTTTGTTATCCTCGAATGATTCTACAATGGTGATAGGGGTCGTCATGGTTGCCTCTATTAGATCAACAATGTTGTCATTAAAAGCATTCGTCAGAGGCACCATTGTCGTCTTTGTTAAGTTCGTTTGCACTACAGGTACTTCGATATGCTCTGTGGATAACAAAAATTCCTCCCAATCTTGGAGAATCTCATTCATCTTTTCTTCGTAAATGCCATTGAGCTCCATTAATGGCGGCACTTCTGCATCTAATTCTTCTTCCTTATCAAATACCGGCAAGATGTCGCGATATTCTGGCTTAAAACGCCAGAGAAAATAGGTGTTGAACGTGTCCCAGTTCGACGACACGGCCACCAACACCACCATTTGAGAGCACAACCACTCATTGACCTGGAAGCTAATGTCATTTTGATACTAATAAATAAGGAGAAATTAAACTAAAAGATGCAACAACTATAAAATTAACTTTTCCATTTATTTTCTTTGCTGATAATTACATTCTCCAATCACTTATTTATAACATTGACATAAACCAATTACTCACTATCTAGATTCTTCTATAGGGTAGTAACTCACCACCATTAATTATAATGGGCTTACAGAACTTGGGCCTAACTCATTATATTATCTTGAGGTCACTTTCAATTTGAAAATCTTATTTCAATGAGAGAAAGGACAATAACTTTCTATATTTCTTGACCAACTCTTGTTTTTTCCCTTGTTTGTTACTAATTCTTTCTCATTTGCTTTTTTATTTGGTGTCTGTCTACTATTAATTACCATCAATGTCTAATTACCACAAAGTGTTGTTACATCATAACTCATTCAATGTAATAAATCTGAGTTTGTTTTCTTCTTTTCACCAAGGAATGGTTTAAACATCAAAATTATTCCAAGTACTTCAACCAAATTCAAGAAGAAAAATACCATATGAGTGCCTGCAGTTAAATATGAATTCATGTTGTTCAATAAAAATACTTTATGCTTTTGAAAAAGTGGAATGATTATGGTTGAAACATGATAAGTACCTGGGAGGAGAGAAGCATCCATACGCTTTTGTGACCAAGTTAATCTGAATTCACCAAAATCATAATAAGAAGAAGAAAATTGAGAAAAGTAAAGTAAAAACCCATGTGAATCAAAACTTGTACTAATGAAAAGTTTTAAAGCAATTATAATTTGAAATATTAATCTGTTAAGAGATCTGCATTCACATTTTTTGAATTATGACACTAAGGGTGAGCGGGTCCGGTTTTCCTGCACTTTTTTATAGGACGGAACAAGCTTTTAGGCCCATACACTATAATATGTCCGTACTGCACGTGTTTTTGTGTTCAAGTTTTTAACAAGAATTTTTGCAACTCTTAGCTTCTAAGGGTGCAGGATGCATGTCTGCCCCACCTCACCTTCTTTCCAGGAGGACGGATTAAAATTTTAGACTCACACCCTCAATTATGTCTGTTATGTTCTGTTACAGACTTTTGCAAGACATGTCTAAACAAAATGGACATTGTCCGTTTGTCATCCCAATATGACAGGTAAGTAAGAAATTAGAGGAAGACACTCACATTGTACCACCAGCTGCAGGGCCAATAGCTTTGCAAAGAGACATGCCTGTCATAGATATGCCATTAGCTGCACCTCTTTGGTGTTGTTCCTGTTTTTCAATATCAAAATTCCACAATTTCATCAAAAACTATTATCAAACTTTGTGTTGAAACAAAAGATAATTAATGAATATACTTACCACTACTCGGTTTTGTATAAGGAATAAACCCGTTGTAATCGTCACCTGAACTCCAGTAAAAAGAACATAATTAGTCAAATTGGTAATACAAATAACATTTTTCTCACTTATTTAAACTGATTTTTTTGTTAAGTGGATCCATTTAATTTGTTTTAAATTCTAAATATGTGTCATAAATGGTTAAATAAACAAATAAAAAGAACGTACAGACATAACATTCTTGAGGACGGAAGCAATACTAATGACTACGTATAAGGTTGTGCCGGACAACAATGCTATGAAGGGGTAACTTTGCAAAAGTGGGATCGAAAAAACCTGCATAAAGAACCAAAAGTAGAATGACACAATTCAAATAACAAACAATGAAATGCAGACATTTCAATAGTCGATGCAACAATTTGATGAAAACTGACCCCTGTGATCCGGGCAAAGACGATAGGTCCACAAGCTTTTTCCACAGACGGGTAAATGAAAAGTTGGTAGATCACAAGCGCAAGTCCTAATAATTTTGCGAGTTAGAAATTATGTAAAAATATATCGAATTATTTATGCCTAACAACGCGAAACATTTATTATAAGTTACAAATATGCACCTGAAATTGAAAGAACATTGCCAACATCATCTGTTGTAAAGTTCAAACCTCCTAGCCTCCGAGGACTAACCGTCCATAATGAGAAAATCTAAAGAAATAAAGATGAGTAGATGTTTTTACACTAAACCGTATCGAGGAGCATTAGCATTTGTTAAAACTCTGCTACGTTATTGTGATATTCAACAAAAGTGTTCAATAATTAATCATTTACCTCTTGATAAGCAATATCATGAAGTGAGAATACACAGTACACAATGATAGATGACATCAAAGGCCAATTCATGAAGAGGTTTTCATTCTTTTGGACTGTCATTTCATTAACTACTCTTATGCTTCCATTTTCTATAGCTTCAGCATCGTCTCTAGACTCGTTACCACTGTGATTGTGAAGTGTTTCCTAGAGACAGTTTAAAGAATCATTTGATAACATGTCCAAATAGAGAGACGAAGTTGATTAACATTTTACCGTTTTAAGAATCATTTTTTAAATATTGATTATGTAACAGACTAAACTGATACGTCTAAGATACATACCGGAATCCAGATGCAGACAATAGCTACGATAAGTGCGAATCCTGATATTATAATGCATGGTAAGAAGTATGGAAACCTGCAAAATGATTTGTTTTAACAAATTATATCATTATTGTTGAATCCTTTGATTTTGTAAAAAATTAAAAAGCAAGACAAGTTCACTTACTTGTCACAAAAGGAACCCTTTGAAAATATTTGAGGGTATTTTTCTGCTGGCTGTAAGAAGAAAAATTTTCAAACTATTTTTAGAGAAACAAATAGAAATTATGCACAAGAATTGCCACTACCTACATTGCATACCATGGGAGCCATTTAATATTTTAGAGACCCTCGGTAGATTAACCACAGTTCAACCATGACAAAACAATTAAAGATCCTATTTAACTATGATTTAACTGTAACAAATATTTTATGAAGTCATGTGCGATAGTCTCTGCCTTACGTGTCCTCAAAGATGACTCTGTATAGCGTATACACGGAATAAAAATAGTACCTGAGCCAAATATCCACCTAAGGCCGGGCCAATGATTAAACCTATGCCCCAAGCTGCACTAACCTGAAATCATATCACACTAATTACTAAGATGGAAGTGCAGTGTATTAAGAAATGAGAGTAATTTGTAACACTTACAGTAGAAAGTCCTATAGCTTGGTGCTCTTCTCGAAAAAGTTCAGTAGCATAAGCCTTCACAGGTCCAAGTATGCCATTTAAACTTCCGAGAAGAAATCGCGTGATAATAGCCATCCAGAAACTCGTACTAAGGCCGAATAGTGTGTTGAGTATGATTCTAAAATCAAGTGAATACCATTAATTATTAGAGAAACCACATAATATAACTTAAAGAAAGAATCTGATTCTTCGTTAGATACTCACACGGCGATGACACCCATAATTATAACAGGTTTTCGACCATATCGATCAGATATCATTCCCCATAATACAGATGTCAAAGCTCTTCCAAACATGTATACAGATCCTATAACATTTTCAACCATCAATCATACTTGTTTTTTGATCAATATATAACTTTTAAAAATACTAAAAAAATAAACAAATAAATCTTACCCACATATCCAGCATAATAACTAATATCAGCTTCTTCTTTTGCAACATTGAAATCTCTTACCTGAAAATAAGCATGTACTATTTGAACTATTTTACTCGAATTATTTGAGTTTATCTACTGGCATAAGCACATGTGATACTGTTCGATATTCGAAACAACTTATGACGTGTTCATAAGCTTTTTTCGGCTTTTTTTCATAAGTTGTCTATGAAAGCTTATGAAAACAGTATGATAGACACTTCTGGTGTTGCGTATTAACCGAAGTTATACAAAAAATCCTATAGAAGATATAAACTCACCATGAAATAAAGGAATGGAAATAGTGATGACGCAGGAAGTGCTGAAAATTAAAACAAGAAAAAAGGACAAAGACACATAACATAAGACATGTGAAAAAGTTAAATGATCCTCACATAACTTATAGAATAGGAAAAGTCGTAGAGTCAATTATTGAAAAACAAGAAGTTTAATAATGCTTACTAGCAGATAACACAACCATCCAAATAATCAAAAGATTTATAATGGATACACCACGGTTTAGCTCTTTGGCTTGTTCCACCTTACAACCAGGACAATCCTCATAGTATTGCTTCTTCTCCAACAATGGAACTTTCATATGCTCCTCCTCCATTTTTGTAACAGAATAAAACAAGTGGTTGAGTTGAGTTGAGCAAAGAATGAGAAATGAACAACACTAGGCCTAGTTTCACACCTTTTGTATGTCAGAGAAATTATGGTGAATGTCTCATTTCTCATCTAACAAAACAAATATAGTAAATGAATAAAGACTATTTTTTTTTTTAATATTATACTCTTTTATTTAATGAGAATATGAGATAATATGAATCAAATATAAATATTTTTTAGTTATTTAAGAAGTAGGTGGTCGTTAATATAAGTAGTTGAATATAAATTGAATTTTTGCATTTCAATTATCGAGACAGTATGAATCTCACTTATAATTGTGAATTTTTTTTTTGAATAATCATGTATTAAAATTTTTTTCCGCAAATAACCACGTTTCAGAAAAAATTACGCAAATAACCATGTTTCAGATGACTCTCCAAAAGAGGAGCCATCTCACTTGGCGCCTCCACCTAGGATTTTGTCCTAGGCGCCATCTCACTTGGCGCCTCCTCTCTCTTTTAGCCAAGTGAGATGACGCATGCACTTTAAAAGTGAAAGGAGGCGCCATTGGACTTGGCGAAAGAGTATAAAAATGAAAGGTGTCGCCATCCCCATTGACGAATAAGAGGTGTCATGAGTTGCAGAGTAGGCGCATGTTAGGTGACAGCCTTGGTGGCAGTCTAAGTGACAGAGTAAAAAATAAGAAAACAATCCGAAAAAGTGTGAGAAATTACGGAGAAACAGACGAATTATTTATAAAAACAGCATTTTATCCTAGGAGCCAAGTGAGATGACGCA